TATATATATTTCTTTTTTAGATTCATATACATCATTTTCCTATTATATATTTTTAATCAGAAAATTGATTTCCCGATCGGAAAAGAGACTATCTGTCTGCTCTAATATTCTAAGTTCTGAGTCCCGGAAAACTAAAACCTTTACACAAATTTGTATGAATAATGAAAACTTTTGTATCAATAAACCACCATGTGTATTAATTTTTGGAATTTCAATCCCACCTACTTTGTGTACCCACTAATCAATTTCGAAATTGAATTATGAATCTAAAACACTTTTTTTTTAGGTTTTTGATAGAAAATGATTATCTAGAGGATGACATCAAAAACGAAATAGAAATATCAACTATTGAATTGATTGATCCAAATAAAGGGATAAAGGGAGAGCAATATTCAACTGTCGGAAATTCATCAGGATCAGATGTTATTAGGAAGTTTCAATGCTATACTTGCAATGCTGTATTTAAAACCGAAAATAGTTTGAAATATCATTCAATTACACATTCGAATACTCGTCTTTTTGAATGTGATACATGCGAAGCTAAATTTAAAACCAAGTCAGTCTTAAAACATCATTCACTGATACATTTAGATATTTATCCGTTTCATTGTGACACTTGCAAAGCAAAATTTAAACGAAAAATCGGATTGAAGAATCACAAACTAACACATTTAGATATTTATCCTTTTGAATGTGACATTTGCAAAGCAAAATTTAAACGAGAAATCCAATTGAAGAGTCACAAACTAGGAAATTTGGATATTTATCCTTTTGAATGTGACATTTGCAAAGCGAAATTCAAACGAAAAGGCAATCTGAAGGGTCACATTTCAACACACTCAGATATTTACACTTTTGCATGTGATACATTCGAAGCTAAATTTAAAACCAAGAGAGCCTTAAAAAAAACATTCAGTAAAACATTTGGATATTTATCCGTTTCAATGTGACACTTGCAAAGCAAAATTTAAAAGAAAAATCAATTTAAAGGATCATATGTTAACACATTCAGCATGGTATACTTGCAAAGCAAAATTCAAACGAAAATACGATTTGAAGTCTCACATAATAAGACACTCGAATAATCATTTTTTTCGCATGTGATACTTGGGAGCAAAATTTAAAAAGAAACTTTACTTAACGAGACATCTATTAACACACTAAGATAATTATCCTCTCGTATGTGAGACTTGCAAAGCAAAATTTAAACGAAAAGGCGATTTGATGAGTCACAAATTAACACACTCGGATATTCGTCTTTTTGAATGTGAAATTTGTAAAGCAAAATTTAAACAAAAACTCCATTTGACACAACATACACACATACACTCAGACGAAAAGAATAATTTTAAATGCAACATATGTAACAGCAAATTCAGAACCAGGGGTAACCTAAAACAGCATTTAGTGACGCATTCAATTTGAGTGAAACCGCAGATGTTACTTTTGCTTTGCTAAATTTGAGAGTGACTATAGAATGTTTAATACCTATTTGGAAGTACTAGTCATTTACCAGTCGTTTTAGTGATTTGTGATTTTTTGTTTCATCAGATTCATAATTGATAAACAAGGATGGCGTTATTCCAAATGGGTATTGAAAATACTATATTTCAATAGTGTTGTTCTGTGCTAGTGTTTTACACTGAAAAAATGTCATAGGAACGGCCTGTTTCCTACTGACAAAACTCCTACCTGGACAAAACAACATGATGGTTTTTCAGCTAGTGAGTGTCAGAAAAAAAAAAAAAAATTCTAAATGAAAATTTGGCTCGTTTTTCTCGTGAAATAGTCCAGCCGAATATCAATCAAGAAAAAATTTTGTAGGCAAAATTATTCTCCTGGTTTTATTCAAGTTTGTTGCTTTCTGGTAATTTTGCTGTTGTTATATGGTAAACTTAAAGTGTTTCCCAATTATTTCAAAAACCATAAATTATCAACAGTCGTTAATCGTTATCCATAAAAATAAATTTGTATACATATTTTTAGATACTTATTAGGTAAAACTATGTACTAGCACATGCGGAAAATGCCTTTACCGCCCTTAATGGCTTGACTTTATTCCGGTTCTCGTTAGTCAGTCAACTGCCGTTGCGTGCAGAAAAGTATTACTTTCCGCGTTTGTTATGTACCTACATAACTATTTATAAACGTAAGAATTTAGGATTGTGCCACTTGATCGATTGGGTAGAAATGAACCGAAGAGTTCGGTAGCTCAGTTGGTAGAGCTTTAGACTGGTTATCTAATAAGTACGTTCAAATCCTAGACCAGTCCAAGGTTTTTTTAAAAGAGGGAGGTTGCCTGATAACTTTTATGATGTCATCAGTATGCCCCAACATAATTCAAATCTCCATAAGGCACCCCAGATGCCTCATCAAATTACCCATTACCAGACAACCTATGAACTGTAGGAACCTTGAGATCAGTCCACATTTTTCGTTCACTTTTAATTAGCTATTATTTCTGCTACGCTACAAACGAGTTCCCTTATAAATATATTGAAGATCAATTACATTATCGTTACGTGAAATTCCGCGGAGTTCCCGTAGAATTCTAATGTACATAATTTCACCATTCGAGTTTAACCCTTTGACGCCGAGTTTTGCTCAATTAAATTTTGTCATATCTTGTATCACTATTCAAAAACATATGCCATAAACATGTAAAATTTACAATTTTGGAATTTTTAAATATTTTCTTATTGATTTTTGAGTATGGGACATATATGTCCCTTCAGGACTGGGACATGGGACATATGTGTCCCATAAGGCATGTGGAATGAAATGCTATATTTTCAAAATAGTTGTTTTATTTAAATATTTTTATACATTCAAGTATGAAAAGGTGTAAAACATTTTTTACAGAAGAGTAGATCACACGTAGTACACATGATTTTTGTCCGAACTTCTTTCTTCTTTTTCGCACATCTAAAGCATCTTCGACGAGTGCGTCCTTCTACGGGCAGATGATCGCCTACATTATATAAATGTCTCGATGAGCTTGACGGTCTTCCTGTCGCTCGCTTTCGTACTATTTTCGCTCCTTCTCTTCCAATTCCTATCAGTTCTTCGGCCAAACATGTTTTGGTTGAGAGCATGATCTTCATCGTCAGAACTGTTTTCGTCTTCCTCCATTGGAGAAAACGGAGATTGTGGTCTATCTGTTTCTTCATCAGATGGCAGATAATCGCTATCCGACTCGTCCGAAGCATGAAAAGGATCCTCTCCATCGGACTGGTCCTCTAGCAGCATCTCCAACTCATTCTGAGAAAGTGGTCTTCGATTCATTCTGGGTAAAATAATAAGAATGAAAGTCACTGTTGGGATAAATATATCCCACTAAAAAATACTCATGGGACATATATGTCCCACAGTCTTATTTCTTATAAAATATAATAGAGGGCAATTTTTTTTTTATACAAAACCCCAAAACTAGTTGGTACTTACCTTTACCACTATTAATTTTCATTTATTGCACAAAATAGTGACGAAAACCACTCAAAAATTCGAAAATAAACAACGAACATGTGGCGGCGAACGAGGTAAACAAACGACTGAAGTCTTCCGCGAAAAAGTGTTGTGAGATTTCCTACCGCATTCGCCAAAATATTTGAATGAGTCCATAAACTACTGCTGGGATCCCATACTATACATTTAAGAGCTGTAATAAGCCCAGCAGAATTTTTTAGACTCTTGCTGGGACATATAAGTCCCGTTAGGCGTCAAAGGGTTAAATAAGACTAATGTTGTATTCAGTTTAAATTAGCGATAAGTTATCAGTAAACTTTTATATCAATTTGTTCAATTATAGTAGATATATTATGTACCTATGTAGAAAAGTTGGTTATTATTATTGGTACTCGATATATTATACCGAGTACTTTTATAACCCGAGGCGCCCAGGCTTATAATGCGCAAGATATATGTATAATGACTTTCTCTACCGAGGAATATAGTTTTTTTTTGCTAACCTACTATTAGAAAATAGGAATTTTTATTTGTTAAAATATTCATAATCATGTATTCTAAGTAGAATAGAAAAACCTGGAATTAAGTCGTAAAAAAAGCTACTAAGAACTTTTGGTGAAGGATTTATTCAAAAATATCAAATAATCAGAAAAAAAAGTTTACATTTAAGTAGAACAACAATTGTCAAAGATATTGGGGTAATAAATTAGCATATGTATTAATTTTTGGAATTTTAATGCCACCTAGTGTAGTGTAGTCTTTCAAAATCTATAAATCTAACAAGAACATTTTTCAGATTTATGATAAAAAATGAATATCTAGATGATGGTATTATGATAGAAATAGAAGTATGGAATATTGAACAAAAAAATACAAATGAAGCGATATTTATAAAGAAGGAGAAATATTTAAGTTACCTACGCCAATTCATCAGGACCAAATATTAGGAAGTTCAAATGTTAGACTTGCAATGCTTTATTCAAAACTAAATCACATTTAAAGTATCATAATGACACATTCGGATATTTGGCCTTTTGAATGTGACACATGCAAAGCAAAGTTCAAACGCAAAGGCCATCCATTTGAAGAGTCATTCAGTAAAACACTCGGATATTTTTTCTTTTGAATGTGAAACTTGCAATGTGAAATTCAAGCCCTCTCTCCGATGGCAGGGGGCTTCAACTAAACCTAAGAGGCTCCTGGTAAACTACCAATTTCCCACTAGGTTACTAGGTTAATTCAAAATTATTATATGGTTTTTGACTTAGCTGGTTGTTCCCGTCGTATTGCTAATGATCAGAAAAGAGAATTTAGGTTTATCCAGGCACTGTTTAGAATCCCAAAACAGGGTAGAAAATCTAGTTTTTCTAGCCACAGTAGCCTGGCACGTTTTCCCTTTGGTGGTCTGATGCAAAAAGAACGATGGCTGCCGTCAGCCTCCCCAAAATCAGCGAAGGATTTCAAAATGGCAACTTAATTCAAAACGAAATAGGAACAATCTTATTTATAAAAAATTCAAATTTTAGGGTTAACAGGTTTCTCAAGATGGCAACGAAAAATCATTTAATTGGTATGTTCCTGAAAAGAAAAATGCATCGCAGTATTCTTTATGCGTTAAAGAAAGACAGCATCAAATGCAACAAGATTAGCAACATTAGATACGGGGTACCTATCTCACAACGTATTTAAACGTTTAACAAATGATAGTTTTCTCAACACGAATCTGACAAGGATTGCCTGAGCCAAATTTAAAACAACAGGGAGTGACGGAAAACATTGCATTGCGACAGACGATACATAAATCAGTAACGCATGTCCCAAATAGATTACGAGTTCACCGCTGGCTGACGGAATAGCTAATCATAAAAACAAAACAATAGAAATGATGGGATATTCGTTTTTCTCAGGATTATAAGTACTAGTAAGGGTATTTGTTAATCAGTGCCCGAGTCAACGCTATGATCAGATTGTTCCTGGTAGGCAAGGTTACTGGTTAGCCAAATGTATTACTAAATTAAAAAGAAATCATAACCAAAATACTTGGGAATTTGAAACGTAACACATGCATGAGCGGACTACCACTACCACGAAGTTGCGGTCAAATCCGATTGAAGATATTCAGGTCTGTTCTCACAGAAATCACAAACCAGTCAGAGCGTTGTTGATTGGTACAAATAGCCATTTTCAACCTATGAAATTTGCTCTGATTGGGTTATGAGCAGAACGCCAACGTTGCATAAGTAATGCCAACCTTCAAAGAAAGAGTTTACCAGCCCTGGGTTAAAAAAGCTTGGAAAAACACCTTTCGACTCAACTAGGTAGTTAGCCCAGAGGTAGTATTGACACAGATTCAACCAACTCTGCGAGTTATTCCTTGATTGATAAACCGTCCCTAAACTGTAGAAACTTTTCACAATCATTGTTCTGGGGTCGTATTTTCGAATTCATTCGAGTACATTTCGTACACGAAATTTGACTGACAGCAATGTAAATTAAATGGGGAGCATTCGGAATCGTGTCAAACTTCGTATGCGAGAATATTCGAAAATACGACCCCTGTAGTTTTTCATTTTTACTGTCTGATGATACTTGTATGAGCGAAACACCTGTAACTATTAAGTAAATAAAGAAATAAATATTCTAAAACCCAGACTTGGTGAATTTTTCCTTTCATTGTTTCAAGATATTGTATGACTAAATTAATACATGAATATTCTCAGAATTGTAATCCTCTCTAGCTCGTGAAATTTCAAAATCCAACTATGAATCTAACGAACATTTTTTTTTAGGTTTACCGTAAAGAATGAATATCTAGACGATGAAGCTATAGATGTGTCAGAAATTCAGCTAATAGATCCAATTGGAAGAATATTTATAAAAGAACATTCAAATGACGCCAATTCATCAGGAGCAGATATTGTTGGGAAATTTCAATGTTACAATGCTAGGTTCGACAAAAAATCAAGTTTAAAATATCAGTTGATATCACATTCAAATATTGGTACTTTTGAATGTAGCACTTGTGGAGCGAAATTTGAACGAGAAAGCGATTTGAAGACTCACATATCAACACACTCGGATATTCATCCTTTTGAATGTGACACTTGCAAAGCAAAATTTAAACGAAAAAGCACTTTGAAGATGCACCTGTTAACACACTCGGATATTTATCCTTTTGAATGTGACACTTGTGAAAGGAAATTTAAGCAAAAAAGCGGTTTGAGGACTCACATATTAACACACTCGGATATTTATCCTTTTGAATGTAAGATTTGCAAAGCAAACTTTAAACGAAAAGTCCATTTAAAGAATCACCTGATGATAACACATTCAAATATTCATCCTTTCGGATGTGTCACTTGCAAAGCAAAATTTAAAAGAAAAGGAGATTTGAAGATGCACATGTCAACACACTTGAATATTCATCCCTTTAAATGTGACACTTGCAAAGCAAAATTTAAACGAAAATGCACTTTGAAAATGCACATGTTAACACACTCGGACATTCATCCTTTTGAATGTGATACTTGCAAAGTAAAATTTAAACGAAAAAGCGTTTTGAAGAGGCACATGTTAGCACACTCGGATATTCGTCCTTTTGAATGTCACATTTGCAAAGTAAAATTTAAACAAAAATGCGATTTGAAGGCGCACATGTTAACACACTCGGATATTTATCCTTTTGAATGTCACACTTGCAAAGTAAAATTTAAACAAAAAGGCGTTTTGAAGTCTCACATACAAACACACTCGGATATTTACCCTTTTGAATGTATCACTTGCAAAGCAAAATTTAAACGGAGAGACTCTCTGAAAAAGCACATAATAATACATTCGGATATTCGTCCTTTTGAATGTGACACTTGCAAAGTAAAGTTTAAACGAAAAGGCGATTTGAAAAGTCATATATCAACCCATTCGGATGAGAAGAATTTCAAATGCAACATATGCAACGCTAAATTTAGGACCAAGGGTAATTTGAAACAACATTCAGTGAGGTATTCAGACAAGTGTAAATTTTCAATATAGGTATTTTGATTTGATTTAGGGACAAACTTAAAAACTGGATCAAAAACATAGAAAAAACGGTGCAGAGGTGGATAGACATAAAAAATACTTACAATTAAATTAAGAATTTACAAATATAACAAAAAATAAAATTTAAAAATAAAATATTGAGTAATCTGTGAAATTAAATTTAATTTCAATATAAAAAATAAATTTTAAATGTAAATATGTAAAGTTTGTTTCACCAGGGTTTGTACTTGCCACCAAAATTTGCCTTCCTTGTTTAACAAACACAAATTGATTGAAACAAATCAATGACGTCAAAAACGTTCGTTGGTTCTTCAACCAAAAGTCATTTATTTTAATTTGTCAAAAAAATTGAATTTGTCATATGAATTAATCTACGGCAATCCTTTTTTTTTCAAGTTTCAAGGTCAAGTATGAACCCTGGTGAAACAAACTTCAGTAGCTATAAAGTTTAAAAAAAACTGGAAACAGAAAGAAAATACCGGCATAACAACTTCATTCAAAAGAAAAACTTTCTTCTCCTTGATAAGAAGTGGGGGTTAAATCATTATATTTATTATTTGTTATATGTATTTATTTTATAAAAAGAAAATTGAAGAAAAATTAAAGAAATAAAAAAAATAAATGCATGCTTTTAAAATAATTTAAGTTAAGTTGGGGTAGTTTTAAGTTTTGATGAGGGCTTAAAGGAAAAGCAGATATAATATGGATTGTATTGTTGTAGCACTAGTAGAGTACCAATTAAAAATATTTATTAGAATTATTTGCGATACACAAAATGTCTTTGTACCTAATTCTACCGAGGAAGTAAAATTAAATATGGATCAAATGCAAACAAGTTCCTTGTAGAACTTTATAATGCATCTCCGTATTTTATTTGAAAACAAGGTTAGAAACTACAAGGATATAAATTATATAAATTTAATTGTTCATAAATACTGTAATTTGCTTTGTTTCAAATAAAATATTTTGAATAGATTTTAATTAATTAAAATAATTTTGTAAGTAACCGAACTCGTCTTTTATAAGTCATTATAATCTATAATTTATAAACTAACCACAAGGTAAAGTATAAATTTTGTATAAAAATTGTACACATTTTTTATTATTTTTTAAATTACTTACTGACTTTTTTTTTATTTTGGAATTTATATGTTACCTTTTGTACATCTTACAATTTTATCATAGCCCTGAAGAATGGGAAAAATAGCTCCGGAAGCTCGGTATTGCTGAAGAGTCAATTAAACAATTAAACTTGACCTTTTCCCAATTATTTCGAAGTATGTACAGGGACCATCCAGGACGATGTTTAACAAATTGGAGACAAGCTGAAATTTGGCAAGATACTTTATTTTAGGGTACTTAATACCCTCTGAAACGCCAGCGTCGAGGCGTTGAGTCCGTCACCCCAAAATCAACCCTTAGGGAGTGTGAAATCTACCTTTTTTTACTTTTTTCATTATACCTCCAAAACTAAGCATTTTAGAAAAAAATGTCAAGAGATGAAAATTGTAGAGAAGAAAATTTCCTACCAAATAGGTTTACAGCAATGTTCAATGGCGTAGTGGAGAAGCACCTGAAGACATACCACTTTGCTGTAAAGAGTCAATATTTTCCAAACTCTTCTTTTTTTTTGATCAAATAAATTTTCTGACACTTTTTATGTATTCTAACCGTCATATTATTCGCAATTTTCTTCCATAGATCATCGCCAAGATATTTACTTTTTTCAATCAAAGTCTTTTTACCTCTAACCGCATCAGTGGCCCACAAAGAAAAATCACAAATCGCACATACGTACTCCACTTTCTCTCGAGGAAGTATAAATACGACGCGACGGGAAAGGGAAATTTCTACTACAAGTAGATACCTACGTACTAAACGGAGAATGATGTACCAAAAAAGCCGTGGTTGTTTAGACAAGTCAAGTTCTCTGAAGCGGAAAATCGCGTTGCGGACGGGGAATTTTCAAAATTTGAACCACAGCGGGGAAATGTCAACAACAAGTTAAACTATCTTTAACTTTCGCGCGAGTCTCCTGTGAGATGTATGATATGCCATTAATAAAAATAGCTATGTTTACCAGAACCAAAACGGATTGTAAACAGTTTACAAATACAAACAGAATACGTTGGGTAAACTCTTGGTTCTGCTGAACGATTCAACTTTTCAATGACAGAAAGTCACCCTCTGAATGACAGGTCACCACACAAAACACAAAGTGTTGAAATTTATAAACACTCAAATTATGTTTGCAAAAATGGCGACCGTCTGCAAAACATGTTTAGTTTCAACACAAATTCAACGTAGCGTTTAGCAGAACAATTGCAAAGCGTTTACCAACGTTTGTATCTGGTGAACGCGGCTATAAAACATAATATGAAATACCTACCCTGAATATACCTGAAAATTCGCTTCTAGAATTTCGCATCATGTAAACTGGCAAAAATTACTTCTTAAACGGAATGATTTTGCCTTTATAGGTACCTAAATGCTCATTTTATTGACCTGCCAGTTCTCGTCCTGTGCGGTCGCATACGCTTATAAAGCAAACAAACCTTTTTTCAGTGCATTCCTTTCGTGTATACACAGTTTTTTATACCTCGGCACATTC